ATCTGAAAATGCCATCCATGGCTCAGCCTACTTGGTCTCCTATGTCACTGGTAATCGACTAAGCATGAAAGAAGCTACATTATACAGAGAGAACAGCTGTGCCCAAACAATATTAACCAAAGTGTGGGTGTTAAAGTGCTTCTCTCCTTCCCATGTCAGAGATTGAAAACAGGGACATATAACCCAATGCAATTCATTATTTTGATATTGAGTCCTAGTTAAGTATTCAGATGAAGGCAATATTTCTCATCAAATAAGGGGCTCATATACCAATCTTTTATTGAACAAAGAACTGAAAAGCACGTCATCAGAAAATGGATCTCCTTGTGACTATCTTCCTTGCCACTAGCATGCTAACTGGAGCTGTATATCCCAGTCCCCGAAAAGGAGTGAACACCTTCCCTCATGATTGATTTTCTTTCTACCCACATGTTTGCTAAAAGGCATGGGGGCCTAATGAATAGCAGGGTAGCTGTCCTAAAAGCTTGTCATTTTTGTGCCTGGCTTGTCACCATTCCCTGGGTTTGGAGAATGATATTGTATCCTTAAAAGAGGGACAAGACCTGTTATCCTATAGTGTAATGTGTAAACTGCTTTCAGACAGTAGTGTAATTCCTTTAAAACGTTACACTTACACCATGGCTGGTTTGAGTCAGTGGGTAGAGCATCGGCCTGCAGACCCAAGGGTCCTCGGTTCAATTCCAGTCAAGGGCACAGACCTTGTTTGCAGTCTCCTCCCCGGCCCGGGGCCCTGGTCGGGGCTCACGCAGGAGGCAACCAATCAGTGTGTTTCGCTCACATCAATGTTTCTCTCTGTCATTCCCTCTCTCTACCGCTCTCCCTATAAATCAATGGAAAAATATCCTTGGGTGAAGATTAACTAAAAAAACAAAAAGTTACATTTGCAACTAAAAGGGTGCTATTACTCTTCAAATGTAAGGATAATGCTACTATTTTAAAACATTAGAGGTGGGTTGCTACTGAGCCATTCACATGTTTTTATTCTTTATTTTTTTCTTATAACAAATACTTATTGAGCCACTGCTATTATACAAGAAGTACTGGGACCTGTGGGTATAAACATAAATAAGAATTTGCCTCTCACACATGGGTTTCCATTATAAAATGTTTGCAGAATATTTAAAAAATAAGTCTATCCACCAAATACAGTTTTAACCCTATCTCCAACCAAGATAATCAAAAGTTATTAGCATCAAATTAATGGCCATGGCTCTTATTCCTACTTATTTTTGCATGGTCAATAGCAGGAGGAATAATTCTTAGGTCTGGGCTCCCTCTACGTTAGGAACAGAAAAAAAATATGGTTCATTAAATGTTTTTAAATATCGTACTAAGGAGTCTCCCAGACAAATCAATAGATAAGACCTTCATCGTTCACAAATTAGAAAACATCCCGCACTGCCTTCTTGTCTTGGCAGTACCATTTCCCCGCATTATATCAAGAGTAATTTTCATACAGTTTCTGAATATAGGTGATGTGAAAAATGAGTAAAATAAATTACTCCTTGAAATTATATGTTTCCTAGTTTTAACTGAGCTACAAATGTTCACATCTCACCAGCTTAACTCAAAAATAAAAGCTAGTATAGCTATTCAATCTTTTAAAGTCTGCTTTACATCAAACCAATTTAGTGTGTAAATATAGAATTTAATTAAAATACTATACATAAAATATTAACAACTATAGTTATTAAAATTACATTAAACTCCCTTGAGCTTGGCTAACATAATATGAGCTTTCTTTCTTTTTTTTTTTCAATTTAGTAAAGGGAAGAACTTGGTTTAGGGAATAAGTTTTGGTTTTCATATTGTTTGTTCCAGTTCACTAATCTAAAATTATAATCATATAAAAGTACTTTGCCATGAAAAAAACACCAAACATAGTAACTTAAATTTTCCATTGGATTCCAACAAAAATCTAATGTTTTATTTGTTTTCTTTCTTAGCCCTCTTTGAAGACATCTCTTTTTTCTTTCCATCTAGCTTTGACCTTTTTCAATGAGGGTTTAAAAAGGACAGTTAATAAATTTTTGGTAATTTGAATAAATTAGAGAACTTTAAACAGAAAAAGTAGATTTTATTATGCTTGTGGATTAAGGTATCTATCTGATCCTTACTGTACTAGGTCACCCAAATAACTTGGGGAAACTATTTAGATTGTATCACCACTTATATCTGGAAAGAGTCAGATAGTTACCAGACTTATCATGGTGATAACTGCATAAGATATATAAATATAAGTCACCATTTTGTACACCTGAAACTAATAAAATATTATATATGAACTATAATTAAAATAAGTTTTAGGAAAAACACGAAAAATATCCAGGAATAAGTCATCATTATCAAATAAATAATGAGTGGTTTATTTTCCTTTTAACATTCTTTTGCATTTCCTAAAATTCTGACATCAACCACGTATTCCTTCAGATAATTAGAAAATACCTCATTCGTATGGGAATGAAATACAACTGATCTGAAGTGTGGTATTATTTATCTCTCTGATCTTCCGAATGTTGTCCACTTAATTTAATCAGTTATGTGTTAGGTTGTACTAAAGTCTAAAACCCTACATATTCTCATAAATTAATTTCAAAATTTTATTCTAAATGTGCTTTAAGTCAAACTATGATATCCACAAGTTAGTATTCTAAAACAGAAGGTTAGTCCATGTGCCTATCCTCCTCTACATCTTCTGTTTAAAAGTTCTTAAGGAGCAACTTAACTGCTAACTCTAGAAATAGGCTGAGGGAAGCCAAAGGGAGCACTCACTCTATTGCAACATCACTGTATTCACACCAATGTACTCTTCTCAGCTTAAATCAGAAAAACATAGAGGAATCGAATTTCTAATGGAATCTGTATAGTAGAGCAGTCAAGAAAAATATTTTGCTGTCTACTGTCAATTATCTAAGACACTAGGGGGGAAAAAATGACATGGCATGAACTGTAACCATTGTCCTAGTGGAGTTCCGTAGAGAGATGAAAGAATGACAACATAGAGAGGCCATGCTCCCAGAGAGTGAGGAATCAGAAACAGAGTATCTGAGATACCTGGGGTTCTGAGCTTTCTTCAATTCTTCTCCCTCACCGCCAACTCCCTCCTAATTTTCACACATTCCATATACTTATTTTATTGTGCAAAAAAGAGGTATTTCTAGGAAGGGAAACACAATCTTCTTGATTTGTAAACAGGAAAACAAGGTATAAATAATAGTGAAATCAGAAACTGTTCCATTGCAGAGAAGTAGCAAGTGACAAATGAGTCTATGACCCCTCTCAGATAGGATGGTAATCACAGACTATTGGATCTGAAAGAAGCACTAAGTGTCATCTGGTCTGTGGCTCTCAAATTTGGCTGATTGTTACGTCTGCTGGAAAGCTTTGCAAAAATATAGAATCTTAGGTCCCATCGCTGTCGATCCCACTTCACTGGGTCTGGGATCGGCAATGAAATTGGTCCTCCCAATATGTTTTACACAGCAAGCAATTCAAGCCCCCCCCCCCCCCAAAAAAAAAAATGCCTTGGCCGAGTTTCTACTGGTATTCAGTGGAAAATCCAGAGCGGATGGTATAGTATATGTGCAAATGAGAGAGTTGGGGAGGGAGAGGAGGAGAGTGGCTAGGTCTAAATTCAGTTGTCTTTTATTAGAAGAACATAATTTGATTTGTAAATGAGAGAATCAGAGTATGGAAGCACAGAGTGAAGATGGTAAAAGAAGTAAGAAGGAATACATAGTTGTATATATTAAAAAAAAATTGCTCCCCCTCCCCCCCATCTTTCACAAATGCTATGATCTCTGCCTATATGATTCTTAGCAACTCACTGCTCCCGCTCCCCCGATGCTACTCATCTTCCTATGCCCCAGCAGTGGGGAACCTCTTTTCTGTCAAGGGCCATCTGGATATTTATAACCTCATTGGCAGGCCATACAAAGTTATCAACTTAAAAATTACCCTGCCTTATTTGGTCAAACATTTAATTAACTCACCCCTAATACATTGGCAGGGCCAGACTAAATTATTTCATGGGCCTAATAAGGTCTGTGGGCCGGACGTTCCCCAGCCTTGCTATGCTCCCTACTCCGCTCCAAAACTTCAGAGTAAAGAAATTATATTCTTTTAGGCCTTCCCTACAAGTCCCTTTCTTTCCCTGTCACACACGCACACAGCTTCAGGAGAAAAGGTGTAGCAAAAAAACAAAACAAAACAAAAAAAAACCCTAGGTGGAACGAATCCCTATTGGTGGAATTCCAAACATCTTTCACCAGGAAGGAAAGTGACTTGGAAGGCAGTAGTTTTGCCAGTGTCCTTGAAATACAGCTATATTAAAGTGTTTTTTTAATACCTAGTCCTAACTCGAATAAAAAGTGTGCTGTATTACACTAAGGATTCTCTGTATGGATAATCATTTTTTTTCCATAATTTAGATTTGCCATTTCAGGCACCTCCAAACACCCAATTATGTAAATGTTCATCGGTAATGCCAGAACAGTAAATGTTGTCATTTGTAAATTCAAGATAAAATTTCTTGCAAGATTGGACACGTGATTATCCAGTAAGTATTCACTTAAGAAGCCATTTGAGCATTTGGAGTTTGATGCCCAACTATGATGATTAATTAGCTCTTTCTATGATGGGAAACAGAAATAGCAACAGATAATTTCCTTTACCCTAAAGACAGAAATGCAGAAAATCTTTAATATGTCTTGGTTTTAATTCCTTAGGAAAGGAAAGGGGTGGATGGGATATTCCAGCAGATAAACAGCATGGGAAACAGATAAATTACCTGACCGTCCGTCTCTCTGGAAGTCCACATGATACCATTCTCCATCATTCACCTTCTTCTGCAGGGCTTTGATTTTTATTGTACCTGACCCCATGTCTAGGAGGAGGTAGAGGTGGCCATCCAGCATCTCAATAGCAAAGAAGTCAACCTTGATCATCTGTGGGTGCTTGGCATCTTTTTGGTGTCGTGGCTTGCCATGGCTAAATAAGATGAGGCCATTTGGCTCTGTTGTGCGGAAATCGAATGATATGGAGCCTGTTTTCTTTGCATTCCATTTAGGCAAAGAGATGAAAGACTCCGGGGTTTCAAAGGTGATTGGGTCCAAAGTTGCAACATTCTCACATTTAAATGCCACTACTCCATGGATCTTCATCTTCGGGTCTCCTTGCTTGGCAAGTCGAGATAATTCCAGCCTTACATCATTATTTTTATATACAACCTGTAGGCAGAAGGTAACAGTGAGAGACCAGCTCATAGTTTAATATTTAGAATGTGTTGTCATCAGCTCATGTAACTGGTGAGTAGATCAAGAAAAGGTACACAATGTTCAATGCCTTTTGTTGTATAATGCCATTTTTTTCAGCCAAGTAAAATTCAAGTATCAACTCATTGAACAGTAACCATTCCAATATAATGTCATTCATATAATGTGCCTGCACACACACGGAAGCTACCTGTAGTTAACTCAAATAATTTGAATAAATCTGCCGAGAGCTTGCATTTCAAGTATGTGTAGACTTGGATTTATAAAAGCCATTTGCTTTCATTAGTTGACTATTATACTTTGTTTATTAAATACAAGTATTGAGGTTTTTCAGTCTTCTCATAGCTAAACTATCTGAAATTAAATACTTTTGTATAACAGTCCCCTACACTACAGAATCTCTCCTAGTGTCTAGATATCCATGGTGATATACAGGATGGTACAAAAGTAGGTTTACAATGGTGAGTACATGAAACACAGTTTATTCTTTAATTATTATTTATTAATCATTGTATTATTTTCCATATGAACAACTGTAAACCTATATTGTCCCACTCCATATATGTCATTTATAAGATAATCACAAGTTGAGGGAAAGAAAATCCTACATTTTCACAGAAAAATCATAAAATACATCTACGGTGCAGAAGCTAGCTCCTGCCCTGCCCTACATTAGTGACTGTCTGAATAATGTTACGTAATTCTGGAACACGGTGTTTACTCTGGATCCATTCAACCTGGATCACTGGTGCTCCATTTCACTTTGAATATAAAGA